TGAGAAAATTAGATTCTGTAGGCCGCATTAGATTGGTTACACATGTCATGTGGGTTGGTTAATATTTTCCCCTGTCTTTGCATTTGTTTGACATAAAGGAGCGCAAACTGGATGACATACTTCATTTTGTAGCCCCGAAACAGAATGAGTCAACAGCCGTAAAGAATCGAAACATCGAGTCTAAAACCATGGAAAATTTTCAAGAGCAGATAAAAACTAATTTAGGTTTGACCTTTGTTGTTATATGAAAGGGAATACAAGGCTCGCTTTCTATTAAATACAAGCATATTAATGGTAAAAATGAAAAATTGAATTCACGAACTGTGAGAAATTAAATTGTATATTTTAGAGTAAGTTGTTGTGCCAGATTAGTTTAAGAACAGGTTTGTCACTTCGTTTCAAAGTAGTAGACTCATTTGAAACATTAGTTGTTTTGTAGATTTCGACTGTGTTGAAGTATTCAGTTCGTATCCAGTGTTAATATTTGGAGTTTTGTGCCTCTCTAGAAATCTTTGAAATTTTTGTCATGAGATAATTTGAAGTTTAGGTGATTCTAGATGATTGTCAAAATTAAAAAGAGTTGTAGTGCAAGGTTTCAATTCAAGAATTCATACGAATTATGGATTCAGTAGACATTGTATCTGAATTAACCAGAGTGACTAGTGCAGACATTAAAATAAACTAGTTATTGTTTTGTGTTGTCTAATGATCCGGTCATTCTACCATTCTATTCTTTTTCTGGCGGCCATTTTGAAAATAGGTGACCCGACCAACATGACATGACCAGTATCTGTTTCAATGATCAAGAAACCACAGAATTGACACCTTATTTGTTAATTTCCGATTTTCACATTCAGACATAATTATGACCTGATTAAAATGTCATGACCAGCATCTGTTCAAGTGACCCCACCCCAAAAGTCAATATATATAGCCAATAGACACAACTCTATAGCCAATAGGCACAACAACGCTGTAGTCAATAGACACAGAAATTATGTAGTCAATAGGCACATCAACTCGATAGTCAATAGGTACAACATAGGTACAACAACGCTATAGCAAAGGCACACCAACTCTATAGTCAATAGGTACAACAACTCTATAGTCTATAGGCACCACAACTCTATAGTCAATGGGCACAACAGGCACACCAATTCTATAGTCTTTCGACCCACAACTCTATAGACAATGGGGACTACGACTCTATAGTCTATAAGCACAACAACTCTATAGTCAATGTAAGCTCCACATCAATATCTCCAGGGCAAGCACACTCTCCTTTAGAAGACTGGATGTATATTCTGCGAATAAGATGGTCACTTAACATCTTTCTTTCTCCATCGTCCACATATTTAAAAATGTCTACTCAATGAATTCAATCATGATAATCATGACTAATTCTTAAGAGAGAAATTGTCCACAATCTAAATAATATGAACCCAATGTTCGTAGATCAATTTTGTACCAATCTACAAACACATTTAGAACAAATTTAGCTACCTTGCCATCATACTTTTGACTAAAAAAGAGTTAATTATCAAACGATTAGCTTATGAATTTATGTCAATATTGTGTTAAATTTGGTCATTATCTACAGTTGGCAATTATTTGCATCTGACGTGCTTGGAATTTCTTGTCTAAAATTTTGAATATTCAAAATGCTGTAAAACATAAAAACAACATATTTCTATATAAAAAATATATAATTATATCCATACAATAACCAACATAATTATTTTCATATAAAAAACAACATATTTTCGTATAAAAAACAACATAATTATTTTCATATAAAATCTACATATTTTAAAAACAACATATTTTCATATATAAAACAAATTCTCTTACTTAAAAAAATTGTTCCTACTGAAATATTGCTATATATTATATATTAATAAATTCGATAGGAAATGTAGATATTTTGTTATTTGTTTTTTTCCTACAAGCCTACAAGCAGGAAAAACTGAGTCGACATTGCAATTCAAAACTCAATTATGACTGTTGATTGATGTTTGTGTCATTTTGAAGGGAAACATTGAGAAAGCTACAATCCGAGTAACCAGCCCTTGTTCGGAAATTTTTAATATTTTTATATATGATCGTAAAAAATAGATGACTAAAGTTAAATGTCAAGTGCAAAAACAGAAGACGTGTCCTTTGTTTGTCACTGTCTTTAGGGTTTTTTCTTTAGTATTCAGTATTTTGACTTTTAATTCATAAAAACAGCATAAAACTATGTCTTTTGAGAAATATTTTTTGAAAGTGTCAGCAACTTAGGCATTGTATGCAAAATGTCTGTTACGTAAAAGAAATTTTCACAAGAAAATTTGGTGATTGAACATTTTACAATTGACTTAGACAAATGTGCATTGACTTTAATTATGATTTCCCTTCCATAGTTACAGCTATGTTTATTGTTTTCGAAAGGTTTTTTTCGAAGAGTTGCACACCTTATTACGAAAATCCTGTAACAAATGCAGCATTACCAGCTTTTCCACTACTCGGCGATTGTGGCTCTTTGATTCATCTGAAATTGTCCATGCAAAGACCGATTGCGAAAGTAAACAAAATGACAGTCAAAATTTTGCATCACTTCCGATTTACTGGGAAAACAAATCCAAACAACCGGTTGATCTCATCGACACTTACTGATCGATAGCCATAGTTATGATACTAAAACGAAGTACAAAAGTCCGGAAGGGATAGTCTGGCCGCCATTTTTATTTAGACATTACGGCTTATCCGATTCTCATGCTTGTGGTGCATATTTATTACTCTATGTTTGATGTTGATGAAAGAACACAAAAAAGATACTAAGAAACAAGGAAGCCGATTTTGAATTTGTTTTTTTGCAATTTCAGGTTGTTCAAACATATCCATAGATACTTTGATATCTATATTCAAAGTACTAAAATTATTTTTTTCACTTTTAAAGAATTTCATAATGCATTTATAGTTGAATTTATTCATATATATATATATTTACTGTCAGTTATTTTTGCTTAGTTTTTCACAACATACAACTCGTAAACTGTTTGTCGAAAATCGTCACATTGAAACTAGACCAAGATCTCATCAATATAAATGGTCACACCAAATTTCATTAATAGCAGATAAAAACTGTAGTCTCTATTGTGTTCAAAGACAAATTTTGATGTGTTGAAAGTCATGGCAATAATTCAAAAACTTTAATCAAAATTTACTGATAACTCCCGAACTTCTTGGCTGCCATTACAATTGTAAGCTTATTACGATGGCCATCGTTATGTTCCGCCTTCCAACTACCAACTACTACGACTACCAACAACTACCTAGTTTGCGATATCAGCATCCGCTGGAATCGAACGTTAACTTGTCATCTACCTACCTACCTACCTATGTTCCGCCTGATTTGTATGCTTAGAATTCATCGCAAAATAATATAAGGTCGTTTCCTGGTAGTTTTCCTGCTCGCTTCCTGGTCGTTTCACGTTTTATTTGGTTGGTTCATGTCGGTTCATGTATTATTACAGAAATGATACGATACTATATAAGATACGATAACAGATAAGCAGAAGAATTGATGAATGTTATTATCAAGATGAACTGGAATATTCAATAATATTAATAATACTAATCATGCTATAAAATCGTTGTATCAAATTTTATAATATAAATGACATTGCCAAAATGACATGATACAACCACCGGAATTTGACGCATGAATAACAAGTGGTTGCCTAACAAGATACGCCCACTTTCCTGATACATTTTCAGGATAACAGGTAGGTCACCAATCTGTCAAATCATACCAAAAATATAATTTGTGCAAGATATAGTTGATTAAATCAAACACACAAAATTTAATAAAAATTCTGACATAAACTGTCACCTCTATCGCGTTAACAAGCCAACAAATTTTGATGCGTTTTACTAAGTCAAGGGCAATAACTCAATTTCGTTGATCGAAAGATCGTCAAATTCGAACTTGTCCAAGATCTCATTAATATAAATGATCACACCCAATTTCATAAAAATCAGATAAAAACTTTTGTCTCTATTGCGTTCACAAGCAGCCAATTGTAGACGGACGGACAGGGGCGACGATATAATGTGGTCGTATAATGAAAATTGTAAGAAAAATGAAATTGAAATATTGTTCATATCATTATATAAAAAGAGCTGAAACCACAATAATGTCATGCGACAAGAACACGGGACGCATGAATAATGAAAATTATAATAAAGATGAATGATGATAAAAAAAAGGGATATTGTTTATGCCGAATGTATCGATTTTTTAACACGCTACTAAACCTACACATCGGAAAGTCAATAATTTGATTTCGGGGAAGGTCAATGTCAAGTTCCGTATTTTAAGATAAACGTTTACAATAACACAATTTCAAAATACAAACGCAATTACTAGACAACGACACAAACTTATTCACAATGCAAACAAAGTAATTTGTAGAGATTTCAGCTATTACCTTTTTAAGCTGTCTAAGTTATTCTTTGTGATTTGCAAAGTAATATGCCTTATTTCTTTAACATTCCCTATACGTTTCAACTCCAATGAGTGGAGAATGCCACCCAATAAAAAAAATAACGAGAAAGAAAGTTTGAGTACTTAACTAGATGACTGTACCTTTTAGCAATAAGTATGTGTGCTAAAACTTTTACCGAAACGTTCGTGTCGAAGCGAATATGTTCCTAAATCACTGTACGTATAAGCATGGGCGCAGATATGAAATTATGAAAGTTGAATTTTTGACCAAAATTTAATAGTGCACACTGCAGAGCAATCAATAGATTTTGCAACTCAACAACAGGTTAGACGCCCACACACGGTAAATATTTTCCTCACAGCCAGTGGGCATACATTATTGTGGTTGTCAATCCGTCTGATTTCGAGCATATAGTAAAAGTAATAATTAAAAAACATGATGTAAGTGGTCATGATTACAATCTTGCTTTATTTAAACCCGCACTGACAGTTCATTTCACTAACTTCTGATCTACTGGTTAATAATGGGTTTGAAAGTAATTTTGATTTGTACGAGTGTACTGATACTCGTTATTTCAGCTGATACACGTAACACTGAGGGTAAGAATATTTAAATTTAGAGAAATAATGCATTTCCTTTTTGGGGTGAATTTGAGGAGAAGACGTCACTGTCCATAAAGGAATTGTAAAGATGTTTTCTTAATTTTGATGTGTTATCGGGGATACTGATAACATCAATTTGCACCTACATGATTTGCATTTGTTATGAACCTGTGTTATGAGTTCAAACTGTTCCGAACTTGCTATATGATCCCTAAACAAAATCGTTGTGTAGTAAATATGTAGTATATATACCACCTTTGTTGCTTTGTTGTATTACGGAAGTTAGTATATTTCATTTTAGAAGAATGGCTCGAGTTTGCAAAAACCTATGATATGATAAAACGCGACACATTTCTTATTTATCATATGCAGATGTACAAAGCACCCTGTTTCAATGGAAAAATATGCGCCGATGAGTAAGTATGCTTGAAAATTATTACAACCAAGATGGGTGGGTAAGTCTAAATATTATCACAATCTAGATGGATAAGTAGGTCTAATTATCATTACAATCAACATGGGTTGGCATACTTAAATATTATTACAATTAAGATGGGTTGGCATGCTTAAATATATTACAATTAAAATGGGTGGGTAGATCTGAATATTATTACAATCCAGATGATTATGCTTAAATATTATTAAAATTAAAATGGATGGGAAGATCTGAATATTATTACAATCCAGATGATTATGCTTAAATATTATTACAATTAAAATGGATGGGTAGATCTGAATATTATTACAATCCAGATGATTATGCTTAAATATTATTACAATTAAAATGGATGGGAAGATCTGAATATTATTACAATCCAGATGATTATGCTTAAATATTATTAAAATTAAAATGGATGAGTAGATCTGAATATTATTACAATCCAGATGATTATGCCTAAATATTATTACAATTAAAATGGATGGGAAGATCTGAATATTATTACAATCCAGATGATTATGCTTAAATATTATTAAAATTAAAATGGATGGGTAGATCTGAATATTATTACAATCCAGATGATTATGCTTAAATATTATTACAATTAAAATGGATGGGTAGATCTGAATATTATTACAATCTATATTATGATCTTATATAATTAAAAGCATATTAATATTTTCTCTGCCTAGCATATACTTATTTCTCACACTAGTTATTCATGAAGTTTCTATTCAGGAGGAGGCCTTATTTATTTCTTCAGATTTTATTATTATTATTTTCCATACTTCCTGGGGCGCGAAAACCTCTAAGCTGTCGAATTTTAACTTTAAAGTATTACGTAATTGCAATTTACGATGCTATTCATTATTGCTATTATACATGCTTCAATTGTCTACAAAAATTTAGATAACATGAAGTGGGCGTCTATAAATGTTGATCAGAATCCATTCTTTTGTTTTGGTGTCCTAAATAGTTTCTCTGTATGAATCTGTGTGTATTGGTGTGATTCTCATGTATTTACCATTAAAGTTCTTTTCATTTTCTTGACAGACAAAAGACCAAATTCGTTGGGTTGAAAACAGGAATGCTACTCTTAACTCCAGAGAGCTCTCCATATTGGTTTCAAACCCTTTCTAAAAGCAATACCATAACGATTTACCACTATCTGAAAGGAGGCCCGACAAAGGTATGAAACAATAAATTAAACATGTAAACAGACAGCCTTCCTGAAAGTTCGTAACATATCACAGATTTCATCTTATGGAAACTGTCGAGAATTGCCGAATTACATATATTATATATACTTTATATATAAATGTATTTACAGATAACTTCACTATATAAAAATGGAACTAGAATTGTAAGTTATCTTGGAGACAAAATGGATCCCCAGTGCAAGTATCTTAACTGTCAAGTAGAAGTAGTTGTCGACTCGGGATTGGAGTTGAAAGAAGTGGCCAATGTGTCTGGTTGGACTGCGTTTTTCTTTATAGATCTTGTACCTCCACTAAGACCAGGTTTGTAATAAATTAGATCATTAGTTTAAATGAACTAGGTTGGAAACCCCAAATCCACTCCATAATTAATGACCTAGTCAAACTCTGATTATGAATAACCTGATCAAAATTCAGAAGATCATCAGGTTTAGAATAGCTTAGTATCTGACTCTCAAAAGATTATTAGGTTTGCCAGTAATAATAAACTATAACTATTAGGTTACTATCTGACTTCACCTGAAGATGACAATGTAGATTGTTGAAACGTAGTGTGTAATAAAACTAAGGAGTAGTATACCATAAAATTGTGTCCGTTATTCAATGTGATCTCTACCCCTTAATGTTGCCAAAGGATTATTCTTACACCTGTATTGATATAAATGTTAAAACAGCAAAAGAAACTGTTTACTGTGAACTATTTATACCATAAACTATATAAGCCTACAAATACTTAAAATAGTTAGGTCAAACTACACATCAATTAACTGTGATATACCCCGTTGGTTTCACATCCATTAAAAATTTCTTCAGAAATTATCAGACACTTTCTTTGATTTCAGGACAAACAGAATCATATAGACTTATTTTAGAAGAAGATTTGGTGTGCAAACCTTAAGTTTATGAACAATAAAAGCGACTGAAAAAAAAATGATCTTGAAATAAATATTTGCATAACATTTGACTGTTTAAATACTTCCAATGCCCACTCGTGAAGACTGAAATGGTATATTCAAATACTCATTTAAAATATGTACGGGCCTGAGTGGGGTTGGATGGGGGCTGAAATTTGTTGGGTTCATATCAACAGTCATATAAAATTGGTGTTATAACAGATTTATTCCAAATTCAAACTACGAACAAGTTTTCCCCTTCCAATGAATCTTCCCTCCCCACAATTTCTCATCCTTCTCTCTCACGTTCACATCATGTTCATCACGTTCATCATGAGGATCCTTCGAGTTTGTAGGAAGACAAAAAAAAATATACAAAATCAGGCCGCGTGGGTCATTGCCGTATTCAACGCTCATACTTTAAAGGGTATTCTGCTTTATTGTAAAAGGTAAAACATTTTCATTATCAAAAAGGTAGTAATTTATACCTGAAAATATTTCTAAAGTATTCTATTTATATCTATGTATCTTCTTGATCAACCTGAATTTGTTTTAAAAGGGTTAATTAAAAACGGTGAGTACTAATTGTCAATTAATTGGCTCGATATGGTAGTGTATAATCCGAAGCGAAGATCGCAGACCTGTATAATCCGAAGATCGCAGACCCCAACTATAATCCGCAGACCCCCTATACTATATTCGGCAGACCCAACTATAATCCGCAGACATCCTATACTCCGCAGACCCCCCTATACTCCGCAGACCCCCTATACTATATTCGGCAGACCCCAACTATATTCGGCAGACCCCCTATACTATATTCGGCAGACCCCAACTATATTCGGCAGACCCCCATACTATATTCGGCAGACCCCAACTATATTCGGCAGACCCCCTATACTATATTCGGCAGACCCAACTATAATCCGCAGACCCCCTATACTATATTCGGCAGACCCAACTATAATCCGCAGACCCCCTATACTATATTCGGCAGACCCAACTATAATCCGCAGACCCCCTATACTATATTCGGCAGACCCCAACTATATTCGGCAGACCCCCTATACTATATTCGGCAGACCCCAACTATATTCGGCAGACCCCCTATACTATATTCGGCAGACCCAACTATAATCCGCAGACCCCCTATACTATATTCGGCAGACCCCAACCCCCCCTACCCCCCCTTCATTTTTTCAGATCTTCACACTTTCAGAATTTCTTTCTTATTTACAACATTAGGTGCCTGAATGGTTAACATGTAGTACAATGTTTCAAGGTCACAGTAAGTTGACTTCATGTCCAAAGCTTTGAATTCGATTGATCTTTGACTTCAAAGGACTGACTCGGCATTACTATAACGAAAATTTCATTAGCTGGTTCATATATTGCCCTTATTCACTGGGCTTTATAGAATATAAGCTCCTTTCACACACTCTGTGCATGTATTACATAAATTAAATGATATATTCTTCATTTGTAAATTTGATTCTCTTGAGAGAGGGTTTCCAATATTTCATACATGTTTAGAATACCTGCCCGAATTTCTGTAAAGGAGGATAAGGAACTGAGTAAATTTTTAAATTTTAAATGGAAAGACATTTCAAATTTAGAAGAAATTAGTAGTGGTGCCTTTGGCACGGTGTTTAAAGCATCGCATGACGAGAACGTTGTAGTTGTAAAAAACAATTCTCGGGGAAGGTGAATTCGACAAAAGCCGACTTTTAAAAGAGTGTTCTCTGTTGGATTCCGTCAAACATCAGCATGTTTCAACTTTTCTCAGTGTTTGTGATGATCCTATGGCGATCATGTTCGGATACGAAGCATTCAGTTTTGATCCCTTTGGGAAAGTTCTGAAAGAGAACCAAAAAACAAAACGCGGGTATGTAGTGCAATCTCCTAGAGGTACGGCTGGAAAAAAAGGGGGCCAACACAAAAATCCATGGAGACCGAATCATTCAGGATCCGTAACAAACTTTGACAACATTGACAACCCTACACCACAGAGGCCATTCACAGAGGTTTGGCACAATAATTATCCCTTCGTTCACTGTAAAAAAAAGTCTGTTTTTTTTACAGAAATGTACTTCATATTTTCTGTTGATATACGTAAATTTCTGCTGATATACATACTTTTCTGTTGATTTACGGACTTTGTTCTTACATTAACAGAATGTTAGTTCCGCAATAAGGAAATATGTTATTTTACGTAAATTAATCTTGGTCGTATGTCATTTAAGAACAATTACGTTATTTGTCAGTAAATTTACGTAAATTCTGTGTTATTATCATGTATGTCCAAACTTGTCTGTAGATAAGCGAAGTCTGCGCATGCGTGGTCATACTGTTTTTTTTTGACAGGAACTTTATGTTGCCTTAAATTATAACAGGATTGCTGTTAATTTACGGAAACTGTGATTTTGCGTTATGATAGTTTCGACCTGCCAATCAAAGTAGGTATGACGTCATCGGTAAAGACACGAGGTCAGTCTATCGTCACGCCGCCATCTTATCCCACATCAAAACTAGGCTACGTCGAAGGGATTTTTGTGAATTTCTTAAATTAAATTTAATATGGTGAGATGCATGGAGAACTTGAAATGCTGACCCGATATTCCACCACTCATTCCTGTTCTATTATCACCCTTTGTTAAAAACTGCAAAATGTTTTACTGAATTTTAAGCATGCGGGGACAACGACAAAATGACTTAAATTTATCCTACACGATGAACTAGACTAGGCTTAGCTTACTTGGTCTTGGGTAGAGTGGAAATGATCACTGAATACAAATTCACAGGTGAGTGTATTTTAATTATTGCCTAAGTAAATTTGTAATGTTACGGTACCATTTTATCACTTTATACGTATTTGTGGTCTGAAACTTAGATCAGTCTTGTCAAGAGTCATCTTTCTGTTTAGAACTCTTCTGTTTAAGAGAGTAGAAAAATTAATTTTCATAGCAATGAAGTCCTCAAATTCATTTCTCAAATCTTCAGGTTTAGCCAACCGCAATGTAAGTTTATACCCGACTACATAAGAAAGCCTCCGACGATATGAAATATCACAGGATCCATAATTTCTATTGCAATTCTATGTTTTTTCATGCTGCCTGAAAACTTTTACCAAAATGTAAACAAACCCGACAAAATGGCGCCAAATTATGCATAGATCCCTCAAGTCAGTTTTCCGACCAACTTTGTACATGTGACACTATAAAATGTTTGTACCTACTATTAATAACATTTGCAATGTCTTATCGATGTCTGGAATGTCAAACTGTGCAACCTGCTTTTAAGAAATTATTTTGTACGGCCACCCATGATAAGTGACAGTGTGTCATTGCATCATGATCTTAAGTTCCATCCACTTTCTTATGCCTTTACTATTTTATTATTTTTAATTTATAATTTCTTTTTCTGTTTTTGTACGTCCTCGCTTTTTTTTGTACTTACAGCCTTTTACGGTTATGATTGCACCAGAGTACAAGAATACAATGAATGGGAATTCTGTCATTAATATTCTTGTCCATAATCCTTAACCGTTTACACTCAATGTTAGGATCCACCACGTGGACAAGGCATTACAAAATTCGTAAACGAGGGCGAATTGGACTCTGGATTTCTCGAACTAAAAGATCCAGTGCCCTACTATTACTACACTACTACAGTACATTAGCACAGCAAACATTTTCTCATTTTAAATTTATCTTTTCAGGTATGTCACCTTTTCCCTTTCTTTAGAGTTTCTGCCATTATTTACCAGCTAAAAGTTACGGAGCATTATGAGACTTGACCTGACTTTCGAACGAGCAACAATTAACTGTGCACATCAAAAACAATTAGGCCTTATTATAATGATTAGAGTTGCATCATAAACTGTATTGCGCTGGATGATGGAGTCTTATAACCTTGTGGAACACTAAAAAAAGTAAAGTGGACCACAGGTCCTTGAAGTTCTGTCAATATTAATAAAATATGGGCAATGTGGAGAAAAGAGTGTCAACATAAATAAAAAAAAAGACATTAGTTAAATCCGAATTAGTTAAATCAGAACGTTATGAAGATGTCATTAGTTAGAACGTTATGAAGATGTCATTAGTTATGAGAATGTCATTAAAAGATGTGTTGAAGATGTCATTAGTGATGAGTATGTATTTCAAGTTCATCATTTGTTTTTATGCAAGAGATTGTTTTTATACGCCCACATTTTCAGTTGTATGTATAATTAAAGGTG